ATTGCTCTTAAAACCGGTTTTGCAATCACTTCATAAATTTCTTGGGGGTAGCCTGTTTGTGAATCTACTGTGGCAAAATCCCCTTCTCCTGTTAAGTGATTGCATGTTATGTCTGCTTGTGGATTATTTGCATACACTACACAATTCTCCCTAAAATCTATCAACCAAGTGCTGTACTGTGTATTTGTTAGAACCGGTTTCAGCGAAGTTTTCCAATCATGTGGGGTAAAGACGTAAATTGAACTCAACGTCTCCAAATATGCAAACGTATTAGTTGAGGAAACACCAGTTTCTCTTACTAACTGCCTCAGTTCCTTTGTTACCTCATGAGGCAAAGGTTGAAACTGAGGGGCCTGGTGCTGGCAGAATATGACTGGACGTGCATGAATCACTTGCCAGTCTCTCACCCACATTGCTTCCTTGTGGCATCTTCCCCTATGGTCGACCGATCTCCCCGTGCCCACCCTCTCACTCTCTGCCAGGGGGACTACCTCCAGTCCCTCCTCATCCTCTAATGCGTCTCCACCCGTGGCCCCGGTATATTCAGTTCCCTGTAGCTGCATGGTAGAGGATGACTGATACAGCGGGAAGGGACCTCCCCCCTCCCCATGCCCACGATTGGAACAAGCTGGCTGTGCAATCAGAAGAGACAGGTCAGGTTCTGGTCTGTTTTGTGCGCGAGATGACTGCGCCCGTGCCAGAGCATGAGGTCGCTGTTCATCTGCAGTGTGAGGAGGTGAATTTGCTGGGTTCCCTCCCCCATCTCCGCAACGGGGCCCTGTGCCTCGCTCCTGTGGGCTGGATTCTCGAGCTAAGGTTCCTGTTCCTTCTCCGCTGTCTGTGCTCCCACTAAGACCAGAACCTAACCCAACGCTTAAATCACAAACACCCCCCGCCTGCCCGTGCAGATCCTCCCCTGAATTTAAATCTATTTGGGTTGTATGTGGTGTATTCCCCCCCACTTTGTGTATGTCTATGTTGTGGACTTGGGTTGCGGTTAACAGCCTGATTGGGGGACTGTATATTGGTGTGGGTTGGGTGTTCTGTTTGTCTTTATGTTCTATGTGAGGCATCCATAATAATGGACCATGCAGGGGTGCTGTTATTAGCTTGGGTGTCGCCTACTCTGGCCTTATCTCTCACAAGCTTTCCAAGTTTATCTCAAATTTCTGTATTTAGAGCTTCCACCAAGGGCAGTTTTGGTGCTATGGATTTTATCCATTGCCTAGGTTCTGTTAACTCTGCGCATGTGGTTTGTACTTGATATGATCTTAACAAGAGGCACAGAGCCTCTGTGTCCTTGTCTACTTCTGTAGAGAGACTTTTTCCCACGTTGGCTTTACCTTATCTAGCCACTTTCGGGTCCCACATGTGTGCTGGCTTTGTTCGTGGCTTCTGAGATTTTACTTTCGATTTCGGCTTGGGCTGCAGCTTTTCACATTCCTCAGCAGCTCCAGCGTCTCGTTGTGGCGATGTTGGCAACTCCTTGCTGTCTTCGCAGATGGCAGCGCCGGCTGCTGCAGTGGTGGCTCCAGCAGCGGCGATTCCTGCTCCGTCTGCGGCGGCAGTTCATGGCAGATCCCACGGAGCAGCTGCGGGTGGCACCTTCGCCTTCTATCCGTCTTCTCTCGGCTTTTTTCTCCTGGAACAGTGCACTTCCTATCTTTTTCGAGCTCGGTTTAATCTTGCATCTCTCTCAGGCGCTTGCTGAGATTGGACACTTTTAAGATGTCTAGGCTTTTTTTCGGTAAAAGTGTCCCAAGTTTTAAAACAAACTTGTTCTGGACACTACCGAGTTGCCTTGCTACAAGGCTTTTAAAACTATATCCTAATGTAGGTTATGCCCCACTCCAAGGGCACCATCTGTGATATAGTAATATAATATAAAGGGACAAGACTCAGCAGCTCAGTTGGCAAACACCAAATCTGTTTATTTAGAGGAAAACACCCCTTTATATACCCTCTGGGGCGGGGCATGTGACCCACCAGGCCAACGACAGCAGGACACACACTGCCCATGTGCCAGTATGCTCTCCAGGGAGTTCAAGACCCAGAATGAATGCCTTGCATCCCTGGGACGTGTCCCTACAGAGCAGGTCACTAGGTGCTCCTTCCTGGTTTACAGGTAATTTTTTCTGTTCCCCGTCCTTGTCCACCAGCTGAGGGGACTGGTTGCCCTGAGGATCACTGGTCTTTCTGTTAAAGACTGAGGCAAAGAGGGCATTAAATACCTCAGCCTTGTCTTCATCCTTCACAACAATGTTCTCCTGGATGTCCAATAAAGGATGGAGATTTTTCCTTGTCCTTCTTTATGTAGTTAATGTATTTATAAAACTTTCTTTATTATCTTTCACAGCAGTGGCCAGATAGAATTTTAGCGGAACTTTCGCCTTTCTAATTTTCTCTCTGTGTGACCTCTCGACATTCTTGTGCTCTTCCTGAGTTGTCTGTTCCTTCTTCCAAAAGTCAAAACCCCTCTTTTTATCCCTGAGTTCCAGTAAAATCTACCCATTCAGTCAGGCTGATCTTTTTCCCTGCTGGCTTGTCTTTCAGCACATAGGGACAGTCTGCTTCTGTGCCTTTTAAGATTTCTTTCTTAAAGTGTGCCCAGGCTCCCTGGTCCCCTTTGTTGCTATGGCCTGTTTCCCTGTTTCTCTGAGCCACTGTCCTGAACAGGCCCAGGTCTACCCCCTGAAAGTCCAAGGTAGAGGTCTTGTTGACCCTCTTTCTTACTTCAGCAACAATCAAAAACTATCATTTCATGGTCTCTATGCCCAAGATAGCCTCTGACCATAAACAGCTAAAACACATAAAATTTCTTCCTATATGTCACACCTCATTGTTTAACTTTGTGCAGGATTTCAAATACAGAAGTAAAAAGCAGAATCTAACCATGCTGACATTCCACTAAGCTGGAGAAGAATATATTTTGAATTTTATGAGTAAAAACTGGATTACTATTCTAACTGATGAAAAATGTTGCCTTGCCCTAAATAAGCTATGAACTGAAAGAAATAAAATTTGTCACATTTTAAAGTATGGAATAAATCTTTATGACCTATGAGCAGGACTGGTAGTTTTATTAGTTGTGCAAGCGGCCTATCTTCTCTTGACAAGATAACAAAAGTGCCCAAACATGATTCTAACACTGCTGGTTAGATATAGTCATAAATTTGTGAAGCAGTTTTAATACTTCGCATTTCAACAGGGACTGTTATCTAAGGCAGAAGACTTACAAATATTAATTGGGCTTTAAAATGTTCTTGTGAAGTAAATGTAATAAATACAGTGATGTTAAGTTTAGACAAAAGATTATCTGAAATGTTAAGCAACTTGCCAGTACAGTAACCCAGTGCCTGACCTAGGAATGCAGCACTCCAGTAAATGCTCTAACCCTTAAGCTGCACTGGATTACAGTTCACTGAAACTGCAAATGAACTTAGAGCAGTCCTAATGCATATGGAAAATATGCCTTAATGTTTTCTGTCAGCAAATTGCAAGGCAGCAAATCAGTCACACTGGAACTTAGTAGAAAATTTGATGCTGGAGCAGTTGGATTCAATAATGCAACTAATTATACTTGATGTGGCATTTTATGAGAGGGTTCTCCAGCACAGACAGAAATGGCATGGTTGTTTTGAAAGTAGGACAATCCCACCTTGGGAAGGTCAGTTGAGTATTCAGACTTGACTTTGAAGCCTTTGATGAGAGAATCATGTCTAGTCTAATCTCTGAGTGACAGGTTCATAAATGCACACACCGCAGTTGATACGCTAATGGCCACATTCTGCTCTGTTGATTTTCTTTGCCCTGCTTATTCAATTTCTTTAGAGACATCCAGAGATGAAAGAGAAAAGTGTTGTAAAGACTAAAAAGAGGTCTGCAAACTCTCTTGTTATCAAGCAAGGTACTAGAAATGTACAGCAGCTCATGTGACTTAAAGAGGCCATGTAGCATGAAAGAATACCACCCTTTTACATGAAAACCTGTCAGTGTCTACAGGAGGTAAATATAGATTACTGAAGATACGAGGTCACTGAGAACTGCAGGCTTCTGTCTTTGCTCACTTTGCTAGTCACATCTGTGAAAATCATTTGCTACCAATTTTGACTCCCTCTCCTACTTTATGTCATGATGTTACTTATAAGCAGAAGAACAACTGGCTTCACTTCTTACTAGGGAACTCTTCCAGAGCAGGATGAAAGAAGTCTTCAGCAATTGCAAACTGATGGTGAAAACAAGGGTTGCTGTGAGGTTATATCTCTTACTGACAGCTGCCACAGCAGCGCTGGAACTCTGGGTAGCTGGGACAAAACTCAGGTTAGCCTATGAACTGTGTTAATGCAAAGTAACGTTTTTGACTGGCCCTCTTTGAGTGAAGGTAACTGACTTTCTGTGCATCCAGCAGGATAGAAAACTCTCTCTGTAGTCATTAACAACAGCTGGTACAGAAGATTAACAAATTAATAATAAAAAATGTTTGGAATCTTCATTTATGCTCCTTTCAAATCAAGTAATTTCATAATGATAATTTCATTTCAGGTCCCACTGGAAAATAATATCTCTTTAAAATCTCCAAGTTTAATTCTTGGTATATATTTTTCTTTACAAAAGATAAAGTAAAATATTTAATCTTGCATTTGTAGGTGAGATGTTTTTGCCAGTTTTATAGACATAAAAATATTAATCTTTACAATGATGATTAAAACCAAAAGGTTCATTAGAGCCTGGGCTGTCTGGTCTGCTGTATAGCTCTTGTAGCCATAAAACTGAGTTTTCTCATTTTCAAATATCCTCTCTTGTGTCAAAATCTTAACTACATTAATTGAGGGACATATCATGATGTCGAAAAGGGCACTCTCTGGTGGCCTATGGTGAGTGACCTTCCAGCTTATTATGTCTGAATGTCCTTTGCCCTTTGCCCACTTAGAGCCTACACAGTCTTTCTCCAGTGGGATTCTATCCTGATTTGGCATAAAGAGGCATTCAAAGAATGAACAAGAAAGTTTGTGCACTTGGAGAGTAAAAAGTAAGACAACAGGTAGGAATCCGCTTTGTTCTCTATGCTTCTCTTCTCTGTCCCTCTCTTCTCGTGCTGAAGCATAAAAGGGACCAAAAGTCTCCAAAGAGAGCCACTGCTCTCCCATATGACCTTGGTGAGAACTGAAAATACAGCTCACAGCTGATAATGGATTTGGAAGCTGTGTCCTTTTATAAGAAGATGCACTGTTCCTCCTCAGCCCTTCCTCCACTTTGGATGTATCTGTTAACTGATCAAGGGAGGACTCTTCTTTGATCTGGATGTCTAGAAAACCTTTCCCTTAATCTACCTAATCTACTACCGCATGACTCTGAAGTTGCAGTCTGTCCTTTTTTACATGCTGTTGTGCCCACAAATGCTTATCAAATATTTGCTGTTTGCTGTCTATTGTAACTGTGCCCATAAGTACCATCTGGCAAATATATTCAGTTATAAATCTAGATCATTATTACAGCACCATAAAATTATCTTCAACTGACTGGATCAGATCAGTAGATAAGTTGTGATGAGTTTTATATGTATTTTATGTTGGACAATTCTATGCTTTGGATTCTGGTTGCAAAGACTCCAGACACAGCCGGGAAAAAGTTGCATGTCGATTAGTTAATATTTGTGTGAACCCTTTGTGCCATTTCATCTACCTATTTAGTTGATTACATGCATGGTGTGATCCTAACGATGTGTAAGGTACTCTGTCCTTCAAGGCAGACTGTCCTTATACGCACTCTATATGTCTTGATGATCTGCCTTCAGATCTATCTTGCTAGCAAAACATTTGGTCCCTTTCTTTGTGCTCTTGGGAGGTCAGCTGCATAACAAACAGCTTGTGTTGCTTGATGCTTGATGCTCCTGCCCTCTCAGTGAGCTTGATGCCTCAGTCAAGTGACATTTAATTTGCAATCAGTGCGGACCTATGAGCGCTTGACACAGGTCACCGGACACTTTTATTCCGTCCTTAGGCTGTCTCTGGTTCCTAAGTCAATAGATACTGGGGGTGCAGTGAAACTCACATGTGTCCTGTACAGGGCCTTGGAGACCTAAGGAATGGGTCATCCTAATAGACTTTGAAGATCCTCGTAAGCATTGCAGGTAGTGTGTCATGGTGTTAAAAGCTGTTTTGTGCACGGAGTATAAGAAAACACAATAGCTCTGGTTATCCAAAGCAATTAATTAGTCATTGAGCTGTTATAACTGAACGTGTATTGTAATTTAGCATAATTTGCTTAATAGTAATACATTAATACAGTAAGTTATTAACAAAAGCAAGACACTTTCTGCCCCAAACTCCTTTGTTCAGGCAGGTGCTTTATTGTTGCAGTGCAGTTCATAAACTAAAATAATACAACTTCCTCCTATGTGGTAAGTACAAAAATTATATAATCAGCAAAGAAGAAGCAAAAATGACATGCAGGCACAGATACACACAGACCTTTGCAGATGAAAAGTAACAAAAATAGACAGAACCCTGAAATAAAGAGAGCAAGAAATAGTTGTCTCAAGGAAAGTATCTTTTAGTAGTATATACTTGTTTTATAGAAGACTTGGCTAGGAAACAGAAAGGTCTCAAGGAAAGTATCTTTTAGTAGTATATACTTGTTTTATAGAAGACTTGGCTAGGAAACAGAAAGACAGAAATCTTAAATCCTGCTGTGTAGCTGACTCTATGTTTGTAGACTTCCAAGATCTAATTACAAATCCTACAGTGGTTTTAATTCATTATGTTATCAGACAATGTGCAGCAATAACTTAGAAAATATAGGAATAGAGAGATTTCAGGGGGTAATTTCTCTCACAAAAGGCAAGATAATGGATTTGCTTACAAAATATGTGATGTGAAATTTGTTTCAATTGGTCACTGTTTCACTCTTGTGTGATATTTTTCTAACGGAAGTGAGAAACACGTCTAACACTGTCCTATAGAACAGTGTCCTGGATCAGGCCAGGACAGGGTTAATTTTTGCAGCACCCAGGAGGGGGCATGGCTGTGACCTGGAGGTTATTCTACACCACCTCAGGTAATTTTCTGGGAATGTGGGAAGGGTTCTCTTCCCTTTCGGGGTAAAGTAGTAGTGGTTGGGTATTGTTAGGCTCTGCCAGGTATCAGTGGTGAGAATTTGCACATGAATTGCTCACCTCTCTTGTACACTTTTGCTATTAATATTGTTGCTTTTACTGTTTATTTTCTTATCTCATTGCTGTTTCGAGTATATTGTTCCTATCTCAAACTGTGGCCTTTACCTTTTGTGTCTTCAGTTCTCCTTTCCAGCCTGCCACAGAGGTGAGGGAAGAGAATGACTGTTGTATGGGTTGGAGTGGTTTCAGTGGGAACACTAAATTCAAGAATACCATTCCTAAGCCACAGTAAACTATTAATAAGAATGGGTACAAGAGTGCCTAGTTTTCAGAATTTAACTAGACTTATAATCAAGCCACCAGTGAGACTAAAAAATAAGAGAAACAAGACTATTACATTGCACCATGGGAAATTTTAGCAGTATGACAGGGTACTTGATGAGGTGGAATAAAATGTTTGGAGGGATAAACAAAAGATACAGAATGAAGGATAATTAGTATCAAGAGGATTGGTATAACCACCAGTGCATGCTGTTCCTTACATTCAGAAGAGAATGCCAGAGCTTGTCATTGATAGTAATAGAAATGGAGGGTGAGTCTTTCAAGGAAGCTGACTCTGCAAAAGCTGTCAGACTAGAAGGCCCTATGAAAGAGAGAAACAGAAAAAGTAGTGCAGAACAGGGACAAGATACAGCCCTGGAATCAAACACTAAATGCGGAGGAGAAATGATAATGATTACGTAGTGAAGTCAAGAGTGTAAAAGGTAAGAAAAGTAATACTGGCAAACGAAATTAATACTCTGAGATTAGGATAATAGAATTTCCAGGAGAGTGGATAGTACATGAGAATGAGAAATCAGCAGAGGAAGGAGAAGGGCCTCTAGAGCAGCCTTGATTAATTTACTGCCAGAGAAGTTAAAAAATTGCTAAAATGTCTTCTAAAGATGTGCCCCTACAGAAAAAATCAGCATAGATAAAGAACCTAGCAAACTAAGAATCACTTGAAATAATACATAAAAGTGCTCCTGACTCTTAGAGTGACGTAATTGCTAGCCTGTAGATTCATTGAGAAAGAGGAATTGACTTCCTTTGAATGAAGACCTAGTTTGGAAGCAGGATGCTACAGTGAAGTCCTTTCCTTCCTGTGAGAGTGTACCTTTTACAACCAAATCAATTTGATTGAACTTCTGGGTTTTGGATACTGGTCAGTCTATTTCTGTCCCTCAGGGCTCTGAGGTGGTACTACAACTCTGGGCAGTCAGTTCCATCTCGATAGGGAGGCTGGGCTGTGTTGCTTGGATACCTTTCCAAGGAGCCTACCTGGTGGTGGAGCTCTTGTTTCCAGTCTTCAGGGATGAAGAAGCAGGCAGGCAAGAAACTTGGGCTCAGCCAAGCCACAATCATTTTTACTCTGGAAAACACTAGGCAGTTACAAAACAACATCCTGTACGTACCCTCCTCCCCCGCTTAGTGTGATCTCACCTCTCCCGGGAGTTCTGTTTTGGACAACATCTTTCCTGACTTTTCTCTAGGCATGTGGTAGTGGTTTGGCCTTTTTACTCACACAATCAATGTTTTTTGTGATCTGTCATTCTTTTGCTCACATACTTCAACTGGGAGTTGTGTAGTTTGCATATTCTCCACCCTCCACTGGCTTCTTTATACAATTTGTCAAAGCAATGACCTTACTGGTAGAAACTCCTTTTTCCAGTAAAAAAAGGTTACCAGAGACCAATGGATCTCTACTGCTTTCTCCAGCAAGAAAAGACATGAGTAAAAGATATGTCAGAATGACATTTCCCAAAGGAAATGAGTCATTCATGGGATAATGTGGATGGACTCCAGTGCAGAAGTACACTTCTGCTCTGTATATTAAAAGAGGAGGAACATGGTAATTTTCGTGATTATCACACATTGCTAGAGTGTAAGGTTCCCCCCCTCCAACCCAACTGTTTTACCTTTCCAGACAAATTAGTACTTACACATTGGCACCTCCATGATGCATTTAGAAATGGTGCTGGTCAACTGCTAACCCACTTCACACTCTTTAGGTGCTTTACAAATCACTGGAGAGGTTGACGAACTCTCATGTTCTCCAAAGACCAGGCTTTTTCTTGCAGGGTCTGTATTGAAATTCTTCGTTCTATTAACCTTTTTCATCTTAGTTTAACTTTTTTCTTTCAAAATGTTCAATTTGCATCTAACTGAAAGCCTCTTAGATTTTCTTGGTCCTGATCATGGTGAAGATCAATTTGCATCACAGAGAAACACTGCTACTATTTTTGGCTTTGTCTGAGATCCTTGTTGACTCTTTGAGAAGAGAGGCCAAGGATTTAATTTATCAAGGGACTGAATTATTTTGTTACCTCTCCCATCCCAATGCTAAGTCTGGCACTGTTTTCAAGCAGCGTAACACTTGTATCAAAGAAAGGAGGAAAAAACCACTTAAAATATTCTTTCAGTTTTCACTTGTAAACATTGCCATGGGACTAATTTACTGCAATAAAGCATGCTGTTTTGCAGTAATATTTTAGAATTCTACTACAAAATTGGTAAATAGACAAACTTTCCTAAGTTGGGATGAATGCACTAAACCTTGAAATCTAGAATGGACTGGTGCAGATGAAGGTAATGGAGAAGATGACAGGTGAACATGTTTCCCCCATATTGTTATTTTACTTGTTACATACTGCTGTGCTTTCGTAGATGAATGTTTGGTAAAATATGTGATTCCAGTGGGGAAAAAATAGCCCAAATATTGTTTTGCCATCTTTCATTTTTTTGGCTTTATGGGGAGTGTTGTCTGCTAGAAGGGACACAGAAATTGTATGAGCACACGGGAAAGCCTACCCTTTTTTCTGCCTAGTTGGGAAAAAGCTCCAGTAAGGTTGATCGTGCCTGGTAGAAAAAAAATT